CCATCACATTGGTGAGGAATCATCACTTTTGGTGTTTAGTGTAAAGAAAGAATGATGCTCATATTTGCCCATATAGATATGCACATATTTTCTTTGGAAAAATACAACTGTCAAAAGATCAGTCAAATGTTTATAAGTTCTGAGCTCTATTGTGCTGGACATCTTGGCCTGGCTAATGGGCTTCTAATCATGCTAGTGTCATACTGCTTAGTTACCATAGCTTGTTTTTTCACTAAGTCATGTAGTTAAGTTGATAAATTCTTCGACTTTGCTCAACTCAAAAAAACAAAACAAAAAAACCCCAAAAACCAGTGCTTGTCATATTCCAGGCCGTTCGTATTTCTAAAGTTTTTATAGTGAGTTGTTAATTCTCACACAAAGTTATCCCTGACAGGACAATAACTGAGGTTGCCTTAAAACCTTTAGATCCATTTGGAAAGAACTTATAATATCAGAATATAATCAAGATGGGATAGTAGTGTAGCTACCCATTTGCTGAGATGACCTACATTTTGAAGCACTGGCTAGTTTTCAGTGGAGGTTATTTTTGGTTGCTGTTAAAATTTATTCCTTACTTATGGGGCTGGAGAGATGGTTCAGTGGTTAAGAGCACTGGCTACTCTCCTAGAGGACCTGGATTCAATTCCCAGCGCCCACATGGCAGCTCACAACTGTCTACAACTCCTATTTCAGGGGATCTGACAGCCTCATATACATATACATGTAGGCAAAACATCAATGTACATAAAATACAAAGAAGTTATTAAAAATTATTTCTTACTACTTTAGTTTTAGAAGCTATAATAAATATCCTCCCTCCTCAAACATATTAGACAGTGTCTCATTCAGGCCTGAACTCACAATTCACAAAATATTTGAAGCAGGACTTGAACTCCTAACCCTTTTGACTCCACCTCCCAAGTCTGGGGATTATAGGTAATTTCACCACCCTCAGTTCCACTTTAATTTTTTTAAATGCATATATTCTTTTCGTTGTTGTTTTTTGGTTTTCAAGACAGGGTTTCTCTAGGTAGCCTTGGCTGAACTGGAACTCACTCTGTAAACTAGGCTGGTCTCAAACTCAGAGATCCACTTGCCTCTGCCTCCCAAGTACTGAGATTAAAGACGTGCGCCAGCACCACCCAGCTTCGAAGTATATATTCTTATGTGCAATAAAATGTTTGAGCATTCAGTTTATCCATCAGTTTTGATGAATACATATTAAGACATCCATCATTCCCACGCTCTACCCAGTAAAACATTCCTCCCAGAGGTAACCAGAGATTAAGTTATCAATAGACAGGTTTGCCATTTTATGGATGTTTGAATATAAACTCATACATAAAGTATTTCAAGATCTGCTCACTCTTACATGCCGTACTGAGATTCAAATGTCCCTCCACCTATGTCATCAACTCATTACATTTTTTGAGCAATATTCAATGGATGAACACAGAACAAGATTTTTTATCCATTATGTTACTGAACATCTGGGTTGCTTCCAGTTTTAAGATAATATGTATACTGCTATGCACCTTTTTTACTTAATCTTTTTTATGAATAATTTCATCTTCCTTTGAAAAATATTCATGAATAATATTGTAGGATATAATGTAGTTGAATATTTAAGTTTAAATTAGTAATAGTCCTCTGAAGTCACTGTGTCATATAATAGTCCCACTATCAACATGAAAGGCTGAGGTTGCTCCATATTTGATGTTGTTCATTATCTTAAATCTAGTTATTTGGGTGGATATGTAGTGATATGCCAAGACAATTTTAATTCATATGCACCAGATAGCTATAATGTGGTGTCCACATGTGAACCAACCTACTATATTTCTTCTTTTATAAAATGTTTGTTCAAGTGCTCAAGTCCATTTAAAAAATTGGGTTAACTTTTCATATTACAATATCATGAACTTTCATATACTTTATACACAAGATCTATTAGATATATGTGCTATATATCTTATTTGTAAATTTAAATTTAGAAGATAAATTATAATTTTAGAAAATATATATGATATGTTCTAAATTTTGGCTTCTCTTTGTTTAGAGGAAACAAAAACAAAAACCCCATCTAGGTAACCACAGGTGCTGAGTTTATTCGTACACCTCATATTCGAGTGCTTACAGCATTCCTCTACCATAGTCCCTAGAAGAAGTGATAGAGATGTCTTGCTTAGGGGCTAAACACTCAGCAGTCATTTTTCTCTCCAAACTTTGACTAGTTAAAAAGAGTTTCTGCATTATCTGCACCCACCACTAAAACAAGTTTCCTAAGGAAGTCTCACAACAGCTGTGGTTACTCACACAAGATTAGGCCTGTCAATATTCCATCAAGAATGGAAGAGAGTCTCACAGGAGTCCCATTCCTCCCCAAGTAGGTAAAGATAGGAAATCGCTTTCTTCAGCGTTGTACCTACTTGTAAGTGGCCCGTGACATAGTAACTCACTCCTATCTACCCTCATGCAACCAGACTAATTAAACTCAGCAGACTTTCTATCTTTCTTTCTTCCTTCCTTCCGCCCTCCCTCCCTCCCTTCCTTCTTTTTTGGTGGTGGTGGGTGAATAGGCATGAAAATAGAAAGAAAATATGTTAGGAAGGAGTTCTGCAAGAGAGGAGAAGAGAGTAATGGGGTGTATGATTAGAATAGATTATATATGTATGTTCGTTCACTCCCTCCCTCATCATGGAGATGGGATTTGGCTGTGTTGCACAGGGTTAGCCTCAATCTCCTGGACTCATATGATTTATGAGTGGTTCTGCTTCAGGCTCCTGAGTATCTGGGATTACAGGCCTACGCCAGTCACTGTGCTACCTTTATTTTTTCTTGGTGGTGTTCTTTTGGGGGAGCTGGTATATGATTCATATCTTCTGTCTGTAATAACATGTGTCCTTGAAAGAAACATTCTTCAACTGTGGGATGTAGAGATTTGTAAGTACCAATAAGGCCAAGTTGTTGAGAGTTAAATCAGCTCTATTATTAAGATTTTGTATGGTTATTGAGACAATTACTGAGAAAAAGATCTTCAAATCTTGTTCTCTCTCTCTCTCTCTCTCTCTCTCTCTCTCTCTCTCTCTCTCTTAATATGCATCAGGTATTCATCTGCACAGAAATCTGTGTAATAGTTGAGTGCCTGGTGACCACGGAGGCCAGAAGAGGGTGTTGGATGTGAGTTGCTGTGTAAGTCCTGGGGATCAAGCCAGTCATTTCTGGAGGAGCAGACACTGCCTTTAATGGCTGAGCTATCTCTCCAGCACCTAGTATTTTCAAATTTTCATTTATATAAATTTATTTCTAACTTTACACACTATTTTGCTTTACTTATTTTTAAGTTCTCAACAGGTGTAAACACATTTGTCACTTACATTTTCCTTTGTTTTCTTTTTAAAAAAATTATTTATTTATTTTTTTATAGAGTATTCTGCCTGTATGTCTGCCTGCAGGCACCAGATCTCAATATGGATGGTTGTTAGCCACTATATGGTTGCTGAGAATTGAACTTACAACCTCTGGAAGAGCAGCAGGCTCTTAATTACTAAGCCATCTCTCCAGCCCCTACATTTTCTTAATAATTTCACTCATAATTTTCAATACAAATGCGCGCACACACACACACACACACACACACACACACACACTTAACTGAATTTTTAAAGTTCTTGTTCCTAAGGAAGGGCTTAATAATGAACTTAGATAAAACTAAACTTCTGGGGGGAAAACTAACACTGCTAACTTTTCATGTTCTGAGTAATTTATTTAGCTGTGCAAACAAATATCTGTATAAGTATCAAGAGAAAAACTATCATAATGACGAAAGAATGCTCAAATTACTAGGTAGTTTAAAAGTTACTGTGCCTATTATTAATTAAAAATGGTGTAACTATCCTCTGTGCAGGATCAATTAAAAACTCAATTGCACAATAATCTATCAGTGCTTCCAGTAAAACTACTATACCCCTTCCATTTAATGGCCTATAAGTTCTACAATTGAAGGTAATGTAAGAAGACTCACTTAGCAATGTATTGTTATATCATCTTAACCTGAAGTAAGGCCCATCAAGCATTATTAAGTTACCCTGAATCCTGCAGAATGTCAGCAGCATTTTATATGTATTAGCAGCAGAGTTAATGTTCCTTGAGGGATGCTACTGAAGAAAAAAAGTAAGGGGGGGGGCTTTAGATATAATTCTGTAGTTGCCATTTATATATTCGCTTGTATATTTGTCATTTGTGAATATATATGACAATGTTACAGTTAGTTTAGCATAGTTTTGCTAATCCATTAAAATACGTGTTATCTAGAATACAGGTTTTTCTTTGAAGGAAAGTTAATATGCTTTGGTTTTTGCTCATCATGACTACCAACATCATTATTATCAGACAGGGTCTTGCATGCAGCCCTTAGAATTTGAGGGCCTTCCTGTTTCAGGCTCTGGAGTGCCACAACTACAGGGGAGCACCACCATGCCTACAACACCTTTACTTTTTCTAACTCTTGAATTTCCCAAGATATGCTCAGGACCCAGGCCAGTAGAACCAGGTCAAAGCCAGCTGAGGCCTGAAACACTTGGTAGCTGTACAATGGAAATGAAAAGCACTTCTCATAACCACAACAAAGTCACCAGTACAGCACATTAAAGTAAACATATGCTAAATCACAAGCTCTTTCCTGTATGTACCAACAATTTGCTTTTCCTAAGGTGAATTCTGGAAAAAACAATCATTTCCAGATGTGAGATGTATTTTAGAAAGCAGTAGAAAATTTGTCTACTTTGTCTCCATTTAAACAGAAGCTAAAAAATATATATTGGGGAAAGAAAACCATTTTAAGAGGAGGACAATGGAAAAGAAGGTATGTTAAGTTGCTAAAAACAAAACAACCTCACTACATGAAGTCACAAGATTATATGAATATACAATTGTGAAATTATGTGGATACATTTCTATCTTCTCTATCATTCTGTACATATAAGTCTTACTAAACTTACCTGACAGCCTGATAAACCGGAGTCTCTGCTGTACAGGGAAAATGAGCCTCTTTCTGATGTTTTTCCTATAAAACCAAGAAAACAACTTTGTGTTAAAAATTTCATTGATGAATAATCAGTTCAGCTTCAAAGCTATTCAATTTAGACTCAATAAATATTTGACACCTAAATAGTTAACAACATGACTCAGAATATTTATACATATTTGTTTCAAACTGGACATTTTTTTCTTTCAAATATGAAAACAGTACAGACAAAGCTGAATGAGCATGCATGCATGCAGTTCTATTAGAAAGCTGTTGCCTGTGAGGCTCATGTACAATTTGTGAATGAGTGTATATTCATGCACTCAAACAATACATAGAACAGTTTGAATGCATTGGAAAAAATGGAATTATATGGTATATACCCTTTTGAAATTTGCATTTTATATAATATTGTATATTTAAGATAAACTGGTGACTAGTTTGCTAAGTTCTATTACTGTCTCATTATGGACATAAAAGCATAGTTTATCTGCTTGTCTGCTGAAAGTTTCCAATTTTATAGGCAGAGAGCCACGAGCAAATATCGTGAATGTATTGATAATGCAGCTTTTTCCAGGTTGTATACATGGCAGGTGGCTAGTTACAGGTCACACTTAGTTCCAAAAGCACTGCCTTACTCCTTGCTGCAGTCTCTAGTAATACTGACTCTCCTTTAGAATTCCTCAAAATGTTCCATAGTCACAGTTCAGAAGTTAGCCAGCCAAGCCTAGAACAGTTCTGGCAGATGCTGAGGGGATGGACAGGAGGTAGCTCACAGGACCAGCAACTGACAACAGCAATTTTTATGTCTATGTGTGCACATCATTTGAGTGTGAATGTGTGCTTATGCTTATGGTATATACATGAGTGCACCTATGTGTGTGGGTGAATCCATCTGTCTGTACAAGTATGTTGACCAGAGGTCAATGCCAGATATCGTCTGCTCTCCAGCTTACCTTCTGAGTCTTTCACTGAACATGGACCTTTCTGTTTTGGATAGGCTGGCTACCCAATAATCCTGAGATGTTCTTGTCTCTTACCCCACCCCTACTGCATTACAAGCATGTCCAGCTTTGATGTGGATACTGGAGATAGAATACACAGACATCTCACTCACTGACCATCTCTCCAGCCACTGTACTAATTTGTAAACAGAACATTCAGACAATCTTTATTTTTCTTACATATCTTCAATTTCATTTTATTTTATGTATTTTACAAAGATTTTGCCTACACGTATATCTGTGCACCACACGAGTGCCTGGTATTCACAAAAATCAGAAGAGGACATTGGATCCCCAAGAACTGGAGTTAAAAGACAATTGTGATACTCCACATGGCTTCAAATCAAACCCTGGTCCTCTGGAAGAGCAGCTATGCACTCAACCTCTGGCTCATCTCTCTAGCACCCACTCATTTGTTTCTAATAGTCTAAGTATATTCAGTAAAATAAGCTTGCAAATACAATCTAGTTCATTACAACAACATACTGCTTACAACTTCAGCAAAGATAACACCACTTGATGACGACATGAAAAATGGGAGAAAAACAATGCCAAGATATTTTCCTCCATTTCAAGGTAAAAAAAATAATCATGTAATTAAATATGATGAAAATTCATCCAAATTATTTGGAAATTATGTGAACATTATTACAATTACATGTTATACTTTGAGTTATTAGATTGTAGCTGAATAAAATGGACAATCTGTTAATTTTAAAAGTTTACACACAGATCAGATGCACAAGTGGTTCACGTTGGAAAACTTTAAACCTACCATCAACTAACACCATAGATACAGAGGAGTCTAGCTATAAATCTTCACAGAAACCTTTACTGTTTTATTTTTCACATTAAAACCAGAATTTGGCTTTTATGTGTTTGGTTGAGGATGCTGGCACATGTTTTTATGTATAGAGAAAACTACCTGACTTTAGCAGTTTGTGAAACATTAATTAATAATTAATGTGATAGTCCGTATCTTAAAAATGCTATAACTCAGCAGGGACATTGTGGATATGATGCTTTTAATCCCAGCACTCCGGAGGCAGAGGCAGGCAGATCTCTGTGAGTTCAAGGCCAACCTGGAATACAGAATGAGTTTCAGGACACAAAGAGACTCTGTCTCAAAAAAATAAAATAAAAATACAGTGATTCCTATGTTAAGAAATAAGCACAGCTAGGTCAATTAAAAGACTACTAAAATAATCTAAATCAGTGGTTCTTAATCTTCCTAAGGTGACCCCATAATACAGTTCCTCATACTGTGGTGACCCCACCCATAAAATTATTTCATTGCTACTTCATAATTATAATTTTGCTACTGTTATGAATCATAATGTAAATATCTGATATACGGAATATCTGATATGTGATCTCCCCCAAAGGGGTTGCAACCCACAGATTGGCTTTATTCTGTGACACATGTATCATGTGTTAAAGAGAAATTCACTGATAAGTAGAGACAGTTTTCTTAAGGTCATAATTTAGTAGCAAAATTCTCTGTTTGTGTTCACACATGCATTGGGGATTACTCAGGACCTCAAACACACTAAGCACCTGTTTTAGCAATTGACAGCAAAATCTAAAGAACCCAAGGTTTCTCTGTGTGTCATGGTTTGAACATCATGAGGGCTTGGTCCTCACAAGAAGCAGAATTTGGAGGGAAACATTCTAGAATTATCCTGTCATGAAGGTTTTACCTTTATCAACAGATTAATTCACTAATGAATTTAGAAGACTATTGGGGTTGAAACAATGGAAGGCGGGGCCCACTGTTATGTGGGGGTCCATAGAAGTGTGCATCTGGTCTTAAGTTCCTCTCTTTTCTTCTCTGCTTTCCACCCATACCCAACATTGTAAGCTGCTTTGTTCTACAATAAACTTCCTGCCATGATGTTCAACTTTGTCTCAGGCATGTAGTACAGGAACCAGCCAACTATGGAATGAAATCTTTGAAACTGAGAGCCTAAGTAAACCCTTCCTCCTTTACGTTGCTTATGGGGTATTTTGATAGTCAGCTATGCTAGTCTCACTCACACGTAATCACTATTGCTATCATTCTTACAAAAAAATATGATGAGGTTATTCTAGCTTCAATTACCTGTAGAAAAATGTTTACTCCATCTTAGCTTCCTGGACCTGTTCCCTTATCTTTAAAAATGAATTAAATTGAGTAGGAGGAGAAGTTGCATTATGGCAACCTAGGAAGCTATTCCTGTGGTCAATGTAAATATTTGCTTTGTGTGTATAAACTTCAAACAGTTAAAGCTGGTGGGGTGTAACATGTATGTGGTTCCAACACTTGAGTGAGAGACTGAGAAAGTTCAAGGCCCAAACCTTTGTAACTACAAATTTAAATTCGCCAGTACATTAATCATTTCATGTCCTAAGAGTAGTAAAAACTTAAAGACACACACACACACACACACACACACAGAGAGAGAGAGAGAGAGAGAGAGAGAGAGAGAGAGAGAGAGCGATAACCCCGATAAAAAATCTTAACCTAGAAAAAAAGAAACAAGAATCCCTCTGGTCTGGAGAAATAGCTCAACCGTTAAAACATTAGACTCACAACAAAAATTTTGCTATTATTAACATTACTATGTTCAAACCTAAATATCTTAATGCGTGAATCATGTTGAGTTTTTCCTATAGTTGCTTTTCAGAGAAACAATATGAAATCTTGACACACGCTAATCCAAACATTTGGAGACACCTCTAATTTTGATAACAGCCTTCTGAGCAAACCACCCTTTGGGTACATATAAAATGTCATTTACCTAACACTTGTGCATGGATAGGCTGCTCCTCCACTCCTACGGATAAACCCTATTGCCAATTCCATGTAATATGCTCTTATTAACTATCTGACGAAACATAAGCTGCTGTCTTAAAGTAAGCAATTGTACAATACAGGCAACAGTGACTTAATAGTCTGTTCATTTTAATACAAGACATTTGTGAGAAAATTACTGGTAATGATTTGATAGGAATAGAGTCAGTCTGTGAGAGGAGGGGGTTATGCAAGTGTGTAGCTACCAAGATACACTAATGTCAGAAAGGAAACAAAGTGCCAAAGGAGATACATTTGAGAATTTGTAAAGTAAAATAAAAACAAAGCAAACATACTGTCAGCAGTACGAGGGATTTTATCAGACGGCTCTAAAATTGCTAGGTAAGTGCTCTATCACTGAGTCACACACCCAGTATGAGACTTGGGAAATTTGATTACTAAATTTATCTCTTAACTCTTGCTTCTCTTTTACTAAGTGGACTAAGATACAAGTCATTTACCATCAATGACATCATTCATTCCACTAGGATAATCAACTCAGTAACACTTCACATAGGCATGCTCAGTTTAATTGACATTTATAAAGTATCTGGAATTTCTTGTCTGAAAGAACCTAAAGCCAATGCTATCTACCATCAAAACTTCATTTGGGTAGTAACTTGCTCAAATTTACGGAGAAAATGGTTTTAATCAAACAGTTTCTTTAAAAAAAAAAACTGAGGAGGGTTTTCAAATAAATGTCTACATATTTTCTTCACAACAATTTGTTTCAAGTACTACTGGTGAGTATTTGTGCCAGGCACACCATTGGCTATACTTAAGATACTTAAATACCTAGTGCCAACAGCACAGCTGCTGGACTCTGTGTCCTCCTGTTTGTCCACTCCATGTCAAATTACAAAGCTAGTAAAGAGGAGGCCTGCAGCAAAGCAAATGGTTACGTCAAATGAGTTCAAATACACAACGAGGATCCCTACAAAGGCCAGTGATTAACAAAGACCCAGGTGTAGTTTTAACTGTTTTAACCAGCTCATACCAACTTGCTGTTAGAGGCATCAGAGCTACAAAAAGCTTCTTAGCCAGAGTTCAGCAGAACTGCCAAGGCAGAATAATTTGAAAGTTCCTTAGACATGGCTTCTTGTGACATTTAACCCCAAGATGAAGTCATCCAGGATGCCCTGGTTCTATTATTCATGATCTCTCTCTTCCCACATCAGATTTATGAATTCAGTATAATCAAA